GTAGCGGCCAGCTTGGCGTGCTGCGCAACCGCATCCACACTGTCCCCATCTTGCAACCCTGCCTCACTCAAAGTGTGCTTCACCTCCAGCTCCTCGCCCTTGAAGAGCCGCAGAAGCCCGCACCGCAGCTGCTGCTGCGCCACAGCCTTCAGCTCATTGACACGCGAGTCCGAGAAGAGCGTCGCAGAGCAGAAGCGGCCGCTGGGTAAGTAAACATTCAACTGCAACGCGCGGCTGGAACTCCTGGATCGGTCGCGGCTCATTGCGGATGCACCCATGTCTTGCTCAAGCGGCTGGCAATGGCACGTGTTGCGGTGCTTAGTCGCTATGTGGTTGTCCGCTTCTCTTAGCACGTCCTATGCTGCGAAAAGAAAATAGAGACAGACGACCCACTTGCCGACCCAATGGGCAGGACAAACGTCAGGGGCAATTTCAACCGTAAATATGCAGAGTATTTCTCAGGTCCTCCTGACATGGACAGTTGGTGACCTCACCTGCTTCCCCTGATTTGGATGTGGTGTTGGTGAGCTGAAGCTCATGTAGATGAGCTACGGGCCAAATTACTTACAAACAGAACAGTTCCTCGAAAAAATTGAACATGTGGCAGTCCCCGCATATTGAGGCCCAAAAAGACAGCCAGTCTGAAATATGAATATGGTCCTTTGTCCAGAGGATTAGAACCTGATATAAAGACAGCTAGCCGGCAAATACTCAAAGGGATTGTTGTACTGAGCATATTCCTAATTGGGACTGTCCCCTCGCCTTCATCTCCCTGGGTTTTCAGTGTGGCACAGATAAGGGCATGTGGCTCAATCGTTGCTTTGCTTTTTGCGTGTCTTCTTTTTTTTCGTTGGGGGAAGGATCCCTTCTACAGTCAGTCCGTGTGGGCTTTGGTACCCCAAACCAAAAGTTGTTCTCTCCTATGGCCAGGCACCCATGAGATGTTGACGAAAGCTGTTCAACCCACTGATCGGGTTAAGGCTACAACCTAGGTTACCAACAACGTACTAACTTGGCCGAACACCCAAGTTGTTTAACCCATGGTTTTAGCCACCAACCTGTTCAAACAGCCTCAAAAATGGGCTTCTTCAAAGGCAACCAAACACCCAGAAAAAGACGCAAGGGAACGAACCGAATCGAGAGGGGCCATATTACCCAACCAAACAAGGGGCAACTGCAACCAAGAGTTTGAAACAACTTGCCAACCAAACGTTTGTGTCTGTCTTCACAGCTTTTGCCAGTGCAAAAATGGCATGAAACTCACTTGCCAAATGTTTTGTTTCTAGAAAAAGAAAAGAAAAAACTACCAGCTCGCAATCGGTGTCGCCGGTGCGCCCCAAAGCGAACCGAACGCGCTGCGGAGCAGCGGGGCAGCCTGCGCCTGATGCCGCTTCTGAGCCTTCTGCTGCGCCTCCCAGGCTTCGTAGTCCTGAGCGAGCTGAAATCCGGTGAGGCCAGAAGCCGCAGGAAGTCCGGGACCAATGGCGACACTTCCATTTCCATTCTTTCCAGGGATCCGTCTTTCCAGAAAACCATCAGAATTTGGAAAAGAATGGGAAATGAATCCCTAGAAGGGACCAATGGGGGACCAACAGGGCCCAATAAACCAAGAGAGACCAAAAGAAGAGCAAGAGAAGGACCAATTGGCGGACAAATGACCAGCACAAACTAGAGGAAAAGGAACGTCGAAGGTTGATTCTTCAGCGAATGTCCCAAGCTAGTGTGTCAGCTAACACCAAAGACCCAGATTGCCCTCTTGGATTCCGTCATGGCCAAGTGCCTTCAACAAAAAGCATGGAAGATGAGATGCATCCAGCTGGGGTGGCCCGTCAGACAAGCATCAGGGGGCATGTTTCGAAGCGTGGCTCGAGGCCAGCGGGGAAGAAGGAGTAGATTCAGAGACTCGCACGGGCTCGCCATGCCACATCCTGGCCAGCAGACTCCAAAGCAAGATCAACCAACTCCTGTACGTACATTGCTTGAAATGCACCCTAGTTTGAAAGCCAGTATATACAATTGCGTTGAAATGGAGCCTTCCAAGATAGGAGTACTTCCAGCCAGTTTGACCAACAACTGCTCGGGGCTGGTCACCCAGTCATCCCTGGCAACACATTCGCAATAAATGCAGCACACGCATGTCTGATTTCATGGAAACAGTTGAAAGTCAACAAACTGGAATCTTCATCGAGGACCCTTTGACGGATGTGTTTGCCATGCAGATTCATGCCCAACACTACGGAGGCGTTCGCCCAGAACCGGGCGAGCCACTTTCTCACTTCGCCATTGGTTTGCTGGAGATACTCTTTCCGCTCTTTGGATCAGAGGTTTCTGGTTTTCTGGTCTTCTATTGCCCGGCCTCTTGGACTCACCGTTTCCGTCTGCCGGGCCCAACCCCCCCTGCGCAAACCCACATTTGCCGGGGCGCCGCCGGCGCACTGGGCTCACAGTCCATGGGGGACGGAGCTCACGCAAGTCGCGAGGGAACTTCCGGGCGACCAAAATCCCGCTGAGCTGTGGGGAACCTTTTGAGACATGGCACACCCTGGAGCTCAACATAGAAGCCGCTTCAAGCTGAGATGAGACCAAAGCAGATCCGGTGCAACTGTTTCGAACTCTGCCCGAGAATATCCACGTCCGGTGTCCTAGCTTGTCTTTTTCTCAGCTGTAAAGGTGTGGGCAACTGCATCTCTTCAGCTTCCAGTGCTAGCTTTCACCATGAGGCGAATGGCTCGACAGCAAGGCGCCACATGCAAAGGCAGCCAATACCACCTGGTAAGCACCACCCCAGAACACACATGGTTCCAGAGCCCTTAGGAGGGATATATCTAATTAGCAACCATTGTCCCAAGATCGTCCTTGTGGGACAAACAACATCTAACTCTAACCATCCTTTTGTTTTGCGATCATGTCGTTGTTGGGTCGGCAAGCGCATTGGACAATGATTCTCCACCCCCAAACCCGCTCTGCAACGCCGGCAAAAGAAGCCCCGACCGATGCTTCGACGTGTTGTTCTTTTTCTTCCACTCGGGCTCAGGTGCGCAGTGAGCCGAGGCATTGCCAGGAACAAACCATGGATGTGATTTCAGCGAAGGGGACGCCACGGCGATGGGGCAGACCCATCTGGCGGGGCTTGGTTATGCGTCGGAACAAAGCCCGAGTTGGCAACCTTCTGGTGATTCATACACGCTTCTGGATTAGTCAGAAGTAACTGACTGTGCAGCGCGAGAACAAGGGTTGTATCTGCCAAACTCGGGGCGAGCTCACCAATCCCCCCATGAAGGTCATTTGCTCCAAAATGCGTTATCTCAGGGCATGTTTTTAGTCTTGGAAGCCCATGGGTCTTCGTGTGTTGGAGGGTGGTTTGAAGGGCTTCACACGCACCCACGTCTTGCAGGCCAATCTCCATCGCCAGTGGGCCCCAGCAGAAGGTGAACCCGGGTCGCGGCCCAGGCGTTTCGTTAAACCGAGCTCGTCGCGAGGTCGGACCGTTTTTGGCGGACAAGGCGCTTATTTGTTGGCGTGTCTTAACCTTGCTTTCTGGTTTCTGTGTCTTTTTGGGTGCCTAAAACCAGCCTGTCGAGCAACCTCGTTCTTGTCTGCTCGAGTGCCAGAACCAAACGGCCCGCACGGCGTCGACAGTGCCGGTGATGTCGGAGTCCAGGCGGCCCGCCAAACGGGACCGACTGTTGAGAGAGGTCTGGATTTTGGTTAGTTGGCTTGAGAGGCTGGAACCCATCTTCCAGCCTTTAGACTCCCAAAATAAGGCTTTTATGTCCAAAAACGGGGGAGTTTGGCCTACCGGATGTCCCCATGTAGATATATAGCACATGGGCGCGGCTTCTCTTCAACGGAGCAAAGCCGACACCTCCAAAAGATCAGGACGTCCAACATGCCAAGCACCTTGTGAGACAGACTTGGGACAGGCGCCTGTGGACAATCCACTAGGACCAACTATAAGAATACCACACCCCGAAACACAACTCCGGTTTTGGTCTATTTTGGTCTGCCTCTTTTCAAGTTGGCCAACTGCTTTCATTCATAGTGGATAAAAAATCCCCAAAGGAACCTTGATCAGGGAGCCGCTTTGCCCCTCAAGCTCTGCCGGCTTTTTGTCCGTACCACAATTCTCCGGAACATCTTCTGCAAAACGCTGGTATCCTTTTGGTGGAAAGGGTTTGTGTGAATGGCTAAATTGTATCAAAAAGGAGCCCTCTGCAAGCAGGTTGATGACTCAACCCCTTGACTCGCGGGGTATCCCGTTGCAGGGATTCTTCAAGGGAAGACAACTCCCCTATGAAACCTCTTGCGATCCTGGATTTCTAAAAAGGGTTTGCATTGGGTTAATCAGACTAGTTTCCAGGGTCAAAATTCAGACAGACTCCTTTCCCTCGGGTCAAGCACTGCCCGGTCGCTTTTGACTCTCAGGTTCCTGAGCAGGATTCTTGTTGCCAACCCTGTTCCAAACACCAATTGTTGAAACAATATCCTTTGGTTCCTCGTCAGTGGGGGGCCAAGGTGTGCTTGTTGAAGCAGATTTTATCCGGCACCAAGGATCTGATGGGAGGGAATCCTTCAAGGAAGATATCAGAGGGGGCAAGGTCTGTTTCAAGTTGTTTTTGCAAACTTTATCAGGCCCCAAAAAGGAACTGGGGCAGGCAAGACCGAATGGCAAAGAGCAGTGGGTTTGCTGGGGGTGTAATGGCTAATCAACGGGAACCCAAGGTTTCAAGCCCTGGAAAATCAATAGCAGGGCCCATCTGATGGAAGAAGTGAAGGAAGAGCCCCGTATTGATCCGCAAGGTCTCGCCACGGTCTTTTCGAATCGGTGTTCTGTCCAACCTCTCCAAGGAAATACTGGCAGAACGGCGTACAAAAAGCAATCTAAGCGCGGGCCATCCGGTTTTGATGCGATTCAAGCCCTATCAAAATTCAATTGAAACAAAGGCAAGCATGTTGAGGGGCACCTTACCTCTGGCACGGGGAGAGCTACTGTTAGTGTTACTAAGGCTCAGCACACTTAGTCCAGCCCTCATCTCCCATCACCTGTCCAACACCTGACCCTAAGCAGAAACCGATACTTCCCCCCGTGTGATTTTGGCGTCCCTTTCTGTTCAATCAAACACCCCTGCAGATTTACCCCGGAACACAAACCTCCAGTGGCGCCGGTCGCCTCGAAGGATTGCCGGCCTCGGATGTCTCACATCTGCCGAAACTGGGGGAGCTCAGCAAAAGATGCTTGGCTTCATATGGCCATGGAGCATAACCTATGGCTCCATTTTGGGGTGGATGACCATCCATTTGCCACCTATTTTGTGTTCACCAGTGGTACAGGGTTTCGACCCACAGCCATATGACCTGTGATTGAAATACGCGAAACATGAGCCCAAGTCTTGATACAGAACTCCCGCACTCCCTTGGTACCACTTTCTTCGAGAACTGATGGCGAGTCAACACTTGGTATGTCCACCCAAATGCTCAGCTTGTCGACCAACAGTTTGATGCAGATCTCAAGCAGCCAAAAAGCTTCCCAAAATCAAAGGAAGCTGGAAGTCTCAGGCGCTTCGTGTTTGATCCTTTCCCAGCTGAGGTGCCACTGAACAATCCCCTTTTGGTCTGTCAATTTCACTTGAAACCAGCGAGAAATAACAAAACCAACCTCAAAGCACCAGCAAAAGCTCTCGGCCAAGCCCCTCCTTGAAGGGGATCCCCTCAAAAAACTCACCGTGCAACAAACATGCAAGACCGTGTGACCGGGACAACCACAATGAACGTGGAGGGGCAGCGCACTGAAGGCATGATACTACCTGGGAGTTGGATTCAAAAGGTCTTATTCATTCCCGCCAGCTAGTATCATAAAGCACTTGCAAGAGCAGGCAACACGAACCTGCGCAGAAACCTGCCATACTTCATCTAATTCAGAGAAATGACGAAGGCAACCATTTCAACCCAGTGAGTAGTGTCAGTTTTCGGGGCCATTCAGGACTGGCACCCCTACTGCGCATGGAAAAAATATGCTGGTAGGTGGCTTATTGGCGGATCAAACAGTGTTCAATCTGGGTTTCATCCGTGCCAACTGGTGCGAATCGACTTTGTCCATCCATGGCCCCAAAAACTGGTTGGCCTCCTCTTGGCTTCACTCTAAACCAACCCATGGACCCGACCTTTCGCCTTTAAAAACACCCAGCTCAAGCGCCCCAGCCGAGCTCTCACTTGTCCGCCGGAGTCTGGCCAGCCCACGAGGCTCCAAGGAGTGGGTTTCTTGGGGCTCTCTACACCAAGAAGAGAGCAAACCACTCTGGGAACCTGCGACCCCGGGCTCGAAATCCAGGGGCTGAACAGGAGCTGCCCCATTTTATGGTCATTTTATGGTTTAGGGGTGAAGATTGTGATGCAGCACTGGGTGCCGTACTGCGAATCTAACCAGGCACTGATCAAACCAACGGGATTGGTATGCACCCCTCTGATTGGAAACCAGAAATCTCCTAAGGGGCCTTCATAGGGCGCGAGCTCGCTGCTTGTGCATGCCAATGAAACCTCTGGCTTGCTGTTCCTCAAGGAATCAGTTTGAGTTTTGGGAATGACCCGGAAGGGGATTCCCTGGTGGAGGGATCGCCCTTTAGTCAGGCCACTACGTCAGTGGGTCATTCCACTACGTCAGCAAGTAAGTCGTACCCTCTGAATGCAGGACGGCTCAAAACGTGGCGGGCAGGCGTACTTCAGCTTGGGAGCGCGCACTGCCTAGGGCGTGATGTTTGATGCAAAACGCCCCACCCGTCCAACACAAAGGATTCCCCCCACTGAGAAAAGCAATCCTGCTTCAGGTGTCTGCCTGCCGCCCAAATTCCCTGTATGCTTGTTCACAAATGGCGATTTTGCCAGAACCAACCCACAAATTTCCAAGCGCTGCCTCTGCCTTTGGTTCATTGCCATTCAAGGCCTTCCTGCACAATTCTTTGGGCCCTGTCTTGAGAGCCTCTCCAACTGCCCGGGGTAAATCTCTGCCTCTCAGGGCTCCAAACACAAAAAAATCCGATGGTAAAGCTGTGTGGCACGGGGGATCCTCTCAGCCATGGGCCTCGGAAACGTCAGGGGGAACTCGGTGAATGTGGATATTGCTACAGGGAAAGGTGCCCAAAAAAAACTGGAGAACCGCCAAAATGGCTCCTCAAAGAAACACAAACCTGCCCCAACCTTGAACACCCAAGTGGGCTTAAACACAACCAAGGCCGAAGCCAATTTTAAAACCCACCCAAAACCAGCCCTAAACCCACCCAAGACCATCTACCTCAAGCACAGCCACCCTGGAACCCACGCGGAGCCAACCCTGAGCCAACCTCGAACCCACCCTAAATCCAGCCAAAACCATGTTGAAAACGATGCTGAGGATGTTAAAACGATGCTGAGGATGTTAAAACGATGCCGGGCCTAACCTACCCTACACGGACTACCCCAGACCTACCCTAAACCTTGACTCCATCCGAAACCTCTGTCCCGCCGAGC